CCTTAATGTATTTCATGCAGCTTTCACTCCATAGTTGTCCAGATTGCAACACCGCATTCCATATTTCACCTCTTTTGGCAAATAACGCAGCCATCCTAAAATACGTAGATTTTACCAAGGCAGTAATTGGGAGGTTTCGTATGCCTTTGAATACCCCATTCATTGATTCAATAAGATTCATTGTCATATGCCCCCATCTTTGGCCATTATCGTATGACCTAGTCCATTTTTCCACCGGAATATTGTCGATCCACCTATCGGCTTCCGGATTTGACAAACGGATCTCGTTGCTGTAATATTTGAATGTGGGTTGTGTCAATGCATATCTCGCATTCATAACCGCATTCCTCAATGTTTTGTCCTTGATCTCCCTCGAGAAATTCTGGACGATATGCCTAACGCAATAGACATGCGTAGAAGGAGGGTCATGCCAACCGTTTGCAGGATTATTGTAGGAACTTTCAATGGAGGCATGTCTGTCCGAGATCAAACAGAGATCTGGTTGAGGAGCCACGTGTGTCCGCAGATTTTTCAGGAAAAATCTCTAAGCACCACCGGTCTCCCCATCGACAAGGGCAAAGGCAATGGGGAAAATGTTGTTGTTGCCATCTTGTGCAACTGCCATCAGTAGCGTGCCTTTGTACTTCCCATACAACCAAGTCCCATCAATTTGTTTAATTGGTTTGCATGATGCAAACCCTGTGATGCATGGTTGAAATGCCCAAAACACTCGACTGAATATTCCGTTGCCATTTAGTAGACTACCATCTTATTCGCCAATTGGGGTGGCGACACCATTCATTTTTGTACTCTTTCGCCAAGTCCAATGGCGCCTCCCTTAATGTCCAATCGTGATACATGCATGCAGATATGTAACCCCCTAGGCTGCCTCCTAGCCTGCGCCTACTCTGCACCTATACTGTATGTTGTAAGTCTCCTCCCATCACCTCCAATGGGGTTACATGCATTCAGGCAAGGCATCCCAAAGGCTGTCACGTAGCCTGATCCTAGCCTGCAACCAAGGACACCTCTTATTTGCCAATTGGGGTGGCGACACCATTCATTTTTGTAATTTTTCGCCAAGTCCAATGGCGCCTCCCTTACTATCCAATCGTGATACATGCATGCAAATATGTAACCCCCTAGACTGCCACCTAGCCCGCGCCTACTCTGCACCTATACTGTATGTTGTAAGTCTCCTCCCATCACCTCCAATGGGGTTACATGCATTTAGGAAAGGCATCCCAAAGGCTGTCACGTAGCCTGAGCCTAGCCTGTAACAAAGGACACCTCTTATTCGCCAATTGGGATGGCGACACCATTCATTTTTGTACTCTTTCGCCAAGTCCAATGGCGCCTCCCTTACTGTCCAATTGTGATACATCCTTAGGCTACCACCTAGCCTGCAAGAGTGACTCCTTTCATTTTTTGTACATGCATGCATGCATATATGTAACCCCCTAGGCTGCCACCTAGCCTGCAAGAGTGACACTTCGCATGCATGCAAGCACCAGCAACCACTATATGAAATTTTTTTGCCTATAAATACATACCATATCATACATCTCTCACACCCACACAAGTCTCACTCTCTGCTACGAAATCTTTCATAATCTCTTACACTTTCTAAGTCTTTCATACTCTCTATCTCTTCCTAAATCTTTCATAATCTCAAGCATTTTAAACAATGGCTCTTCTAACAATGGGCGATACTCACAGAGGCACAAGGGAAAACATTGCCGCATTTGTAAGTTTCTATTTTGGTTATACATTTTTCATACTTCAGATAATGCGTTGTTCGTCTTACTTAATCTTACACATTTTACATATGAACTCAGGACACAAAAAGATTCAGAATCCGTTCTCACAACTACCTGGCTCCCGACCCATTTATCGTACCATATCTGGAATACGCAGGTTTTGGACATGTCATAAAGATCTCCAACTGCACCATTGACTCGAAGTTCATTCTTACAATGTTGGAAAGGTGGAGACCAGAGACCCATACATTTTACCTACCAATAGGTGAATGTACCATCACGCTAGAGGATGTGTACATGCTACTAGGTCTCCCTGTCGACGATAAGGCCGTGAACGGGTCGGTTCAACAACCCAACTCTCAGTGTGAAGAACTGTTGGGCAGGGATATGGTAGAAAGTGGTGGTGCGAGAGGTCAGTGAATACTACTCACTGAGCTGAAAAGTCATTATGCAAGTTTGGAATTAAACGAAAATTCCTCTGAGCAAGACAGGGTAGTAAAAGCCATAACTTATCTTATGATACTATTTGGTACCTTTTTATTTCCCAAAAGTACGGGAAATAGTGTAAATTTTATGTATTTACATTTACTAAGAAATTTTGAAAAAACAAGAAAATATAGTCGGGGTTCTGCAGTTTTAGCCCACCTATACAGTTCCTTGTGCAAAAATACAGTCAAGGAAAAATGTACATTTTATGGATGCGCTTTTTTACTACAAGCCTGGGGTTGGTGGAGGATGGAGTCCTTAAACCCCGTCAACAACAACACTTTCGGTTTCCCGTACGCAACAAAGTAAGTCATCAAGTTATATCATTTATTACTATTCATCTCTTCCCCAAATATATGCTAAGAATAAAATGTTTTTCATTTCCTTTAGGTACTGCATGAGGGGTATGGATTACGGCAAGAATCCAAGATTCAATGTCGCACTATACCGCAATCTGTTGGATCACTTAGGCCCGGATGACGTACGTCGTAGATTTTAACTTTTCTTCATTTAAATTATTTATACATTACTTTTGCGTTAACCTGATTTAAATTTTATCGCAGTTCGTCTGAAGACCATATTTGGGTTTGGGCCATGATCCAAACCCGGAGGATGCAGCAACTTGGACCGTGAAGACTGCAATCATTCGGTTCAACATTGTGGAGATGTACCACAGTGACCGTGTGAAGATGCAGTTCGGAATGCATCAAGAGATACCAAGTGATCTGACTTGTTTGTCCCCATGGCATCTTAAAAGGGTCGACGCCCAGTGGGGTCTTACCAACTGGAAAGACTTCGCTCCGGAATGGTGTAAGATGTGGCAGAGGCGTCACCGCTATGTCTTGCAATTTCCGGTTTTCCTTAATCAAGGTAATATGCGACACACGGATCAATATTTGTCTTGGTACAGGTCGGTTAGTAACCCTGAAATGCACGTGTCTCATCCAAGGTACTTGGTTGACCCACGCACACAATGGGCACATCCCTCGTTTCCCTAATAACAAACCTAAAACCCAACAACCTCCCACCAACCCCCAAGAAGAAACGGACCCACAAACACCCAACCACAGTCCCCACCACAACACAATTACACTCAAATGTCACACAACCAACCACAATCACCACCACACTACCAATACCCCGATATGCCTCACACCCAACCACAATACCAATCACAATACCAGCACACCCGCATACCCCACACATAATTTTAGTCTTCGTATATCCCAATATGGGCCCCTCAACATCCAGCCTTAGCCCTGATATGGGAATGTCGGAAGATTACGAACAAACTGATCCAGCCTACCATCAACCACAATATCACCAAACCACCCAACATCCTCAATACCAAACACCCCAAGATCCATTTCCTTTCTACCCACCGTACTCAGACGATCAATGCTACAAACCCACTATGGAACCCCACCCACCGCCAACACAACCAAACTTTCAGGGTATGGGTAACCGACTGTACCAAAGCGGATCTTCTAGATATGGAGATCTGACTAATTTTATGGATCCGGACCGCATTGACTTCGCTGGGCCATCGACCCTGCCGCAGCAGGAAACGCGACGACACTCAGCACGAGAAAGACGAGGACGGGGATGCGGAACCGGGGGTTATTACCGGGTTCCAGGGGATCACTGATTTATCTGTTTTTTTTCCTGTATTTTTTTATCCGTTTTTTTATCTGTTTTTTTTATCTGTTATTTTAATGTAATACAGTTGGATGTAATTATTTTTTTTTAATAAAAAGTCCATTTTGTTGATCCTGTATCCAACACGCAACGCACCGGACAAAAAAAAAATCAAATTTTGCCCTAAAATAACACCTAAGCGCCATCTCACTTGGCTTAGGACATGTCCTAATCACATAGGCGCCAAGTGAGATGGCGTCTCCCCTTAAAAAATGGGTGCATGCGCCAATTCAGATGGCTCCTCCTTTGGGGAGTCATCTGAAACATGATTATTTGCGTAATTTTTTCCGAAACGCGGTTATTTGTGATTTTTTTTAATACATGATTATTAAAAAAAAATTCTAAAATTGTAGCTAAATTATTTTGTTTTGGTTATGTCAAATTTGATAATTTACTTGTATATTTTTTGGCAGTCTCATAAAGAAAGTGAATAGTGACCTAATTCACGATTCATTTGATTAATATTTTTGGTGGTTGAAAAACTTTGAAAAAACTTTTTAACTTATTTAAACTAATGTTCCAACAAATTCAATATGAAAATAATGTAATGTGGCATAGAATTTAAAGCTAATCTTTAATTGGTGAAAGATGGGGATGAGAGACTTGTTGTAACACGATGTATATGAAAATAGTTAGATCCTTGAATCATGTATGTAGTAGTATAAACCTGAGATATCATTCAATTTAGAATTAAAACAAAAAACATATAGTTGAAAAGTCCTTAAAAATTGCACTATGTCGCTGTTACGAGGATTTTAAGACTCCTATCACAATTGAATGAAATACATCCAAGACCAAGAGATGCAATGTTGTTAATGAGTGATCACATAATAAGAAATGCTATTTAGTGCTAAATTGTAGGTGTGTTCGCTTATCATTTGGGTGAATATCTAACTTTTTAGCGGAAAACAATAGTTGCCTATAATAAAATTGTGCACAATTACTATTTACCTAAATATAAATACGCTCTCTCTATTGATATTTTTAGCTACGTACCCTTGACCTATAAAACCTTTGGATCATGTGATAACAAACTTTTGATTTGTCACATTTGAAATGGATTGCGAGATTAAATTATGGCTGGTAATTCTTATTTTGTTCTCCAGTGCAATATATTGTGTTGTTGGAGAGCCTCAAGTACCTTGTCTTTTCATTTTTGGAGATTCTTTATCAGATAGTGGAAATAACAATGACCTTGCTACGGATGCTAAAGTTAATTACAAACCTTATGGGATTGATTTTCCTTCTGGTCCAACCGGAAGATTTACCAATGGCAGAACTTCTATTGACATAATCAGTAATATACCGACCGACAAAAAATTATCACATACATAGTTTGCATTTTTTATATTGAACCTTTAATTCTAATATTGCAGGTGATCTTTTGGGATTTGACCATTATATTCCACCCTATGCAAATACCAATGATACAGACATTGTTCAAGGTGTTAATTATGCATCCGGTGCAGCAGGAATTCACAATGAAACTGGAAAGCACATGGTAATGTTGCGAGTTATATTGAAAGCTAATATCATATGGATCATCTACACAAATTTATTAATCATGTTGGAAATGTTTTAGGGTCCAGATATTAGCATGGGATTGCAGTTAGAACATCACAGAGATATTGTTTCTCAGATTGCTAAGAAACTTGGGAGAGACAAAGTGCAACAACACCTTAATAAGTGTTTATATTATGTGAATATAGGAAGCAATGATTACCTTAACAATTACTTCCTGCCACAACATTATCCATCTAAAGCCAAGTATAATATTAACCAGTATGCTGAAGCTCTTGTCCAAGAACATTCAACTTATTTAAAGGCATTGTATGAGCTTGGAGCAAGAAAGTTTTCTTTGATGGGATTGTCGCTTATAGGTTGCATTCCGCGCGTGAAAAAAGGTTTATTCTGTGTTAAAGAGCAGAATGAAGCAGCACTTCTTTTCAATAATGAACTTAAATCCGTTGTTGACCGTTTCAACAAAGAATTACCAGATGCAAAGTTCATCTTCATTAACACTGCTATCATAACATATAATTGCTTAAAGCGAGGTATTTAAACTTTTTTTCTTCTCATAATAACTCAATCACAATCATCATTGTATATATATTATTAACTTTGGTTGGATTTCAGATATCAAAATGTTGACGTGTATCCCTAACGAGAAACATTGCCAGGGCATAAACTTTCATCCTTTTTTTGATGAATTTCTTCTATCTGCGGATGTCAACAACCTCACTGCAAATATGGCTTATAATTCAGATATGCAGATTTCGAAATGTTGCAAAGTAGGGTCGAATGGGCAGTGTATCCCTAATGAGGAACCATGTATGAACAGAAACTTGCATCCATTTTTTGATGAATTTCATCCAACTGAGGTGGTCAACAAAGTGTTGGCAAATATGGCTTATAATGCTCCTTTTCCAGGCTTTGCACACCCAATGGATATTAGTCATCTTGTTAAGTTGTAACAAGATGGATATCTCGTGTCCATGTTTTCTTAATGAAGTATTCAATGCAAGAAAACTCAAATAATCATATATTAATATAGATTGCAATATTACTGCGTTTTCATTGGAAATGTTATGGCGATATAACTCTTCCTTTTCCATGTATACATAGAGATGATTATGTAAGTATTATGAAAGGGTCCATATACCAAATTATCTAAGGTTTTGGGGGAAAATATAGGGTTCAAGTCACTTATATAGTTTTTTTTTATAGACAAATTAAAATATTAGAAAAGGGTACGAGAGGTAACCCAACCCAAGGTTACAAAGATACTACCATTAAGAAGTACAATCTAAGGAGACTTTATGCCAAACATAAAAGTCAACATCTTAACGCAATATGGAAATAGAATAAGGTTGACAAACAGCTAAAATATAACTATGAGAGATTAGTTCAACTGGCCTATTGTGATTCTGCATGTCTATGTTATTGAATGTTAAAATTAGTCTTTTAAATTTAAAAAAAAAATATATATAAAAAAAACCTATAATATTTTTAAAAACACTTTTATAAAATCAATTTTTAAAAATACTAACGAAAATCTATTTTTTTAGAACTAAAACAAACTCTAAACCTCAAAAGTGTTCTATTGGCTTTACGATGGTTTTACAGTCCAGCGAATCCGGACAAAGTTAGTAAAATCAAAAGGAAAATTAATAAAAATATGATGTAAAATTAGTAAAAACAATAGCAAAATTAGTAAAAATAATGTGTAGAATTAGTAAAAATAAGGCGTAAAATTTTTGCCTAAAATTCCACTTCATCACTGTTTGGCTTATATCATCCAGCACCCTAGCAAAATTTTCAAAGGACCTATCAAATATCGTTTTGTTGGTGGTTGTGTATGTGCAGATTGGGGTTCCTACACTATTTGCTACCGCACAAAGAATTCTAGGTCTCTAAGCAAGTTCTTACAAAATCTTCACCCACACGTGTCAATGTTTGCTTTTGAACATTGGGGGTTAAAGTCCCCGGACCAAGCATGAAGTTTTAAAGTCCCTGGACCTAACCCTCTGGACATCTTCTAGCGAATTTTTTTTTACAATAATTAGGTATTAAAATAAAATTTCGCAAATAACCGCATTTCAGAAAAAATTATGCAAATAACCATGTTTCAGATGATTCTCAAAAGGAGGAGCCATCTCACTTGGCGCCTCCACCCCTAGTTTTGCCCTAGGCGCCATCTCACTTGGCGCCTCCTCTCACTTTTAGCCAAGTGAGATGGCGCATGCACTTTAAAAGTGAGAGGAGGCGCCATCTCACTTGGCTCCTACTGCAAAACTAGGACACAATGCTGTTTTATAAATAATTTGTCCGTTTCTCCGTCGTTTCTCACACTTTCTCGCACTGTTTTGTTATTTTTTACTCTGTTATTCGCGTCATGATATCGCCCATGATTTTTAGCAGAGATGGTTACGTTATCTTCTCCGCCATGAAACCTGCGATGAAAATGAAATTGTGGCACATTCACTCCATGGAGCGTCTGAAGCGGGAGTTGATTCGATGGTTAGATGGAGACATTGTAGAGGGGGAAAATTCGAAGGATCCAGCGAAAAAGAACAACAACCTCACATGCGACAGGAAGACCTAATGTATGGTTGGAGGAAGTCAAAACAGACAGCGATGTAATGTTGATGATGCATGAGTCAGATGAAATTGTGTTAACAATTATAATTTCGTAGACGGAATATCGTGTATTTTTCTTGTACGCGTAATATTTATTGTAGCAAAATATGTTAACGGAAAATCATAATGTTTACAACATAATTAAGGAAAGATTTTATGTATTACAATTTTTATGTGGTCGAGGCAGACGCCCGATTCGGACAATTTTTGCGATTGTGTCCAACCTGACGGCATAAACCACACTTTCTTTCCAGCTTGTCAAGATCGTCTATTTTTGTTGTGATACACTTACTTTTGGGACGACCCTTCTTGTTCCTTCGCATTTGGTCATTGTGCCACACTATTTCACCGTCGTATGCAGGCCAATAATCTGGTTTTGATACCAAAGGAAAGCTGTTGTTGTAAATGTTGAGCAACGTTTCAGATTTGTAAATGTGTGACAGAAGTTGCAGCGCGTCTTGATGGGTATAAGCACAAACGTCAATGACATGAGAGCAAGGCATACAAAATGCTTGAAACCTGCCACAATCGCACCAACGAGAAGGTAGTATGACCCTATATTCTTATCTTGGCAGGCCTTCGTTGTGGTCGATTGTCTCTTTCACAATGAAGTTGTGGCTGTGTCGGTCAAACCGTATAACCATATGAGTGTTGGCTTTGGTACTTTCTGCCTTAATGTATTTCATACAGCTTTCACTCCATAGTTGTCCAGATTACAACACCGCATTCCATATTTTACCTCTTTTGGCAAACAACGCAACCATCCTAAAATACGTAGATTTTACCAAAGCAATGATCGGGAGGTTTCGTATGCCTTTGAATACCCCATTCATCGATTCAATAAGATTCGTTGTCATGTGCTCCCATCTTTGGCCATTGTCATATGACCTAGTCCATTTTTCCACCGGAATATTGTCGATCCACCTACCGGCTTCTGGATTTGACAAACGGATCTCGTTGTGGTAATATTTGAATGTGGGTTGTGTCAATGCATATCCCACATTCATAACCGCTTTCCTTAGTGTTTTGTCCTTGATCTCCCTCGTGAAATTTTGGACGATATGCCTAACGCAATAGACATACGTAGAAGAAGGGTCATGCCAACCGTTTGCAGGATTATTGTAGGCACTTTCAATGGAGGCATGTATGTCCGAGATCAAACAGAGATCTGGTTGAGGAGCCACGTGTGTCCGCAGGTTTTTCAGAAAAAAGCTCCAAGCACCACCGGTCTCCCCCTCGACTAGGGAAAAGGCAATGGGGAAAATGTTGTTGTTTCCATCTTGTGCAACTGCCATCAGTAGCGTGCCTTTGTACTTCCCATACAACCAAGTCCCATCAATTTGTATAATTTGTTTGCATGATGCAAACCCTGTGATGCAATGTTGAAATGCCCAAAACACTCGACTGAATATTCCGTTGCCGTTTTGTTGACTACCATCTTGCGCGTATGCTGGCACTGTTTCCAGAACGTAAACAGTACCCGGAGAATACATCTTTAGTGCATTCAGGTAGCGAGGAAGTTCTTGGTATGACTCCTCCCAGTTTCCGTACACCTTTTCAATCACCTTAGCCTTTGCTAACCACGCCTTACGGTAAGATAGAGTATAGTTAAAAATTGTGGTGATGTGGGAGATGATTGTTTTCACCTTCAAAGATGGGTCGTTGCTGACCAGTGCTAGGATTTCTTGACAGATGAGATCGTAATTAAGTTTTCGGTGGTCCTATGATTGGGTAGAACTTACACAAGTGTGGGTAGTCATGGAACCTATGAACCAGCAATCACCTCTTAATCTGTATGATGCAGTCAGCTTGAACATACAGTCAGGGTGGACACATTTGATCTTGTACCTTTCTGGGTTAACACTGTCCACCTTAAAATCAACCGAGTTGAGCATGTGGAATTTTTTTATGGCTCTGATGCATTCCTCTTTGTCACGAAACTTGTCATTCTCTTTTAAGTTTTCATCCGACTACATATACAGATTGAAAAATAAATCAGTAGACGGTTCATCTCCGCCCATGTTGAAGTTTATCATGCGCGGAGGTGGTGTGTAGATTTCGTTTGCAGGAATACTAGGTATGCCATCATCGTCGGAATCATCATTCACCATTTCATCAAACTCTAACTCGTCATCTTCTTCTTCTTCATCAACTGCATCTACCTCAGCTTGTTCATTCTCTAAAGGATCAACCACTTGTGTCACATGAGGCTCTCACAGCATAATATACAACTCAATAGAGTCGTACCCAGAATACACATGGTTGGAAAACATATTCTGGAGATCCTCGTCATCTTGAACTTCAACCTTATAAAAAATTATTTGGTTGTTTCTAAAAAAACTGGATTCTGATAAAATATCTGTGTCACCGGGCCTCGTCCAAGTTTGGCCTCTAATCGTTTTTTGAAGTACGAGAAATTGGCTTTCCCGTTTAAAAGAAATCGAATGTTGTCTGTGTCTCTAAACAAAAACCCAGAGGTGGGATAAATGTATGTCTCACTGTTGAAATGTGCTTTGATGATATATTGTGGTGCAGAGGCCATTGCGTAGGGTTGTTTGAATGTTTGAAGGTTGGAATGTTTGAAGTTTATGAGTTATTCGAAGGTTTGTATGTTTGAAGTTTATTGATTGTATGAAGGTTTGAAGGTGGTAAGGTTTGAAGGTTGGAATGTTTGAAGTTTATGAGTTATTCGAAGGTTTGTATATTTGATTGTTTGAAGGTTTGAAGGTTTGATTGTATGAACGTTTGAAGGTTGGAAGGTTTGACAGATTAAGTGAATCAATGTTATGATAAACGTAAGACTAAAAATCGCATACTGAATTTCAATTAAGTAAGGATGTAACCCCCAAGGATGCCAATAGTGTTACATGCATGGCATCCCAAAGGCTGTCACGTAGCCTGTGCCTACTCTACAACCAATGACACCTCTTATTCACCAATTGGGATGGCGACACCTTTCATTTTTGTAATCTTTCGCCAAGTCCAATGGCGCCTTCCTTAATGTCCAATCCTGTTACATGCATGCAGATATGTAACCCCCTAGGCTGCCACCTAACCTGCGCCTACTCTCCACCTACACTGTAACTTATAAGTCTCCTCCCATCACCTCCAATAGTGTTACATGCATTCAGGCATGGCATCCCAAAGGCTGTCACGTAGTCTGTGCCTACTCTGTAACCAATGACACCTCTTATTCGCCAATTGGGATGGCGACACCTTTCATTTTTGTACTCTTTCGCCAAGTCCAATGGCGCCTCCTTTAATGTACAATCATGTTGCATGCATGCAGATATGTAACCCCCTAAGCTGCCACCTAGTCTGCGCCTACTCTGCA